TGTAAGAACAGGTATTAAGAGATTTCTTTAAGGTCCCTTCCAGCCCAAACCATTCAGTAATTCAGTTCCCCAATCCCCATCCCTTTCTAGCTTCTGGGAATTGAGGACAGCAACCATTGATAGATGGTTATTCTCCATTAATGATTATTCTCCATTAATTGTCCCACGTCTTTCAAATACATTCATACTTTTAGCCTCAATGAGTTGCACATTTCAATTATATTGTGAGAAGAGAGGAAACTAAGTGCTGTAGCTCCATTGACATCAAGCAGAGACACAGTCATACATCAAGCTGAGAAATGTGTTACTGGTGTACTCAAAGTGTGTTTATAATAGGTTAGCAGCATGCCACTCTTTCATGTGGTAGGAGGAAAAGCTGAATATGATTAAAAGTAACAAGGCGAGTATAAAATATAGCCTTAAGAGTAGTAGCAAAAGTTTGTTTTATCTTGATTTTAAGGAATTATGAATAAAAAACCAGCCCACATTCAATATTAAGGCTGATGACCTTAAAAATAGGTCATACACTTATGTGTCCAGAAGATGTGTGTGGATGTAAAATCTCTTCCATCTGTTTTATCTTACTCATAGAGCAGGAAAATTTTAGTTATATGGCTGAGCATATGAAAGTAATTTCTTTTTATAGCTATTTTGATTACGGTCTTCCATTACAACCTTTTAAGAGAAAGAGGAGGAATTTTATGAAATGTTGAGTTAATAGAAATGAAACAGAATTTCAGATATTTGCTATACAGTGAACAAAAATGTGTGAATGATGAAAAAAACTTGCTTGTTTTATTTTTGGTGGAATTTCTCTTTTTCAGCTTCCCATATGGCAATGAGTAGGACATAGTGGATACGGCATTTTCAGTATTTTATTGTAAGGCTCTAGCAGGCTGCTCTGCCTTACATTTGTTTTTGTGGTACCTGCAAGCATTACGTGCCAGCCTTCTCTTCTGCACCCTGTACACCCAAACATTTCAGCTTTTTATAATAAAGGAATTGCACAGGGAAGCTAGCAAAGGAAAGGTCTCACCTGTTTGCTATTAAGTTCTCTGTTGCACATAAATATATTTTTTAGATTCAGTCTGCTTCAATTGGAAACAGTGGTGTGGATTACCTTGGTTTCAGTGGGAGTATATTGAAATCTAAGATACCAGGTTTTTTTCCCCCCATTCCACTGTGTGTCATCTCTCATATCCATGTTCCCTACTTAGGAAATTCCCAAAGATCTTCATTTTTATGAGGAGGACCACTTTTGGCCCAGGAGCTTGAAAAGGGTTATGTTGATTTCTGCTTTGTGGTTAGAACTGCTATACATTTATGTACGACAGGCAAATACCGTATAGACACGATCATAAATAATTCACCGTTCACTTCAACAAGAGGAAATTACATGCTACATTATTCAGCAATATACAAAGACACTGCTTGTTGTGTAAAGAGAGTAATATTCTGCCAGGGAACCGACAGCAGTTTTGCAACTAAAATATAAAAAGACATAAATGGCTTATTACCAAATCAAATCTCGTAAACTTTCTTCTGCCTTCAACTCACATCCTTCTGCTTTCAGTATTGAAATACAAAAAAACGTGAAGGATATCTGTGGTTTTGACTGCTGGAAATGTTGAATGGAAGAAACAAACAAACAAGATACTGTAGATGTCTTGATTTCATGGAGTAAATGAGGAAAACGAGGGCTGCTGGGGAAAGATGTGGTCCTTTTGGTGAGCATCCTTCATTGCACAGTGAAAGGCTGGGGAATGAACTTGTATTAAAAACTTATTGGTAATGAGCAGGGGGTGGCAGTAGGGAATTATACCCTGACTTTTATGTGTTTATTACAGTTGGGGTTTATTTGTTGCGTGAACATAACAGTGGAAAATCACGTACAGTGGTATGTCTACAACAAGCAGTTATTTAAAAAAAAATCAACATTTTTATTCTATTAGTATTCTATGAGTAATATGTCATATTTCCCTGTGGTAGGTCGTCAAACTGATCATCTAATTAAGCAGCCTGTTGTAGTGCGTATGCATAAGTTGGCAGTTATGGTTGCTGGTGGAACTTTAAATTTTCCCTCATGACTGGCGTGATTAAGATCTCAGTTTTTCTGTAGCTTAGCGTATTTCTTTATCCTTTTCCCTTGTATCAGCTTCCTGATAAAACATTTTTGTCAGCTGTTAAAGATGTAGTTAACATGGTTTTTCCTTCAGTTTGTAGTGTTTGTAATGGATTCTCATAAGAAGCATCTGAACCTGGGAAGGGTTCAATAAATTTCAGTCCATTTTATTAACACACAAATGGACATAAAATAGGACAGAGAAGCTTATGTGGTTTTTCTAAGATCCTGCACTCTGTATTCATTAATGTATCTCTGATGGCTCTTTTTAAAACTTTGAGAATTAATGACAATAAGCAAGTCTTGAATTGATTCTTTAAGATAAATCTGTTCAATCAGCATCACTAAGCAAGTTTCAGGTCCCCATTAGAAAAAGAGTGAAAAATAAATGGGATTTTTTTTTTTTTTTCCTAAATAGAGAGTGCATAGTAACTGATCCCTCTGCAAATAACAGCAGTGAGCTGGGGAGCACAGGTCTGGGAGAATATTGAGATACTGGGAGTCAAAATGAAAGAGTTCAGGGTGGAAGAACTACACGAAACCAAACGTGTACCGTATGATAAATTTAATTGAAGTGATGCTGTAGGATGCCTTCTGTTTGCCAGATCTTTTATAGCTATCACTGTAACCTGTTGTCTCTTCTTTGTGCATCTTTTTTAAGAGGTGCTTTTTTCACCTCCTTTTTCTTATCTTTTCTTATGAGGGCCCTCATCTCCATCCTCTCTTTTTTTTGGAACTACCTCTGTTTTCATGATTTCCTGTATTACCTCTGGATGATGTCCGAATCTGCCCTGATGGTACTTCAGTCTCCTGCCTCCTTTTCTTCCTCTGAAAATCTTTGCTCTGGTGTCTTACTGCTGCCCAAAATGCTGACTTGTAAAGTGGAAACTTTTCCCTTCTTGTCAGGACCTCTCTTTCTCCTTCTCTCCAGCCACTGGGACCGTTGGTGGTGTTTGGACAATATTTAGGCTCTTTCTGCTTTAAATCTTGGCTCCTTTCTGTAGCTTCTCATTTTGTTTTGGACATTCATTTGAGGAGGGAATACTTTATGTATAAAAAAACCAAAAACTTTCTGGGTTTAATATTACACGTCTGAATCTGATTTAGTCTCTCTAGTCATTCAAACTCCTGTCAAAATCGTCACAGGTTCATTTCTTTAGAGAAGTTTTTAAGACTTCTGGTTTCTTTGAGAAGTCTTACACTGTTTTTCCCTTTGGTTTAAATATAGTCAGTAATGATTATGCTATGATTTCTGTCTGCCTCATCTGACTTGTAGAATAAACTCATTAAGGAAATGAACTTTTTTTTTTTTTTTGTAGGAAGGTATTTTGCAAATACTTTTGTTTGGTGTTTATCTAAGTAATTATTCTTGAGTCCTTGAGACACAGCCTGCTTGGTCTGATTGCAGGAATCCTCCAGTACGTGACAGCGTTAGGTAGGAGAAACACACAAATGATTTTACAAAAGCAATTTGTCTCATACAAAAATGCAGCTAGAAGAATGATAATTAATGCAGGATCTGAAGTGACTGCCCCATTTGATCTGGACACTTTTGTAGGAATGAACCAGGAGTTATTATATAGAATTATAGCAACATTTCTTAAGAACAACAAAAGTATTGAAAGAGCTAAAGGCAAAATAGCCAAATTCTGGGTCTTTTAATTAGTAACAATTACACTTCAATGATTTGGTGTGTTGTAGGAGTAGTCAAAGGACCCTTTGTGTATCCATTGTATCAACATAAGAAATTATTGTCCTTATTGGCGTCTTGGATATTACACAAATGTGCTCTTCAGAAATGCGTAGGGACAAAGTCAGACAGGAAGACTTCTGCTGGAGACAGAGGTGTGCATAAGGATGAGTTAAATTAAATGGTTCTGCGATGGAAAAAAGAGCACTGGACAATGGGGAAGAAGGAAAGATGTTTGGAAACAATTCAGAGGAAAAGCATTTCTGAGCCTTAAAAGAAAAGATGGATTTTTTTTTTTTAATAGAGAAGCAGCAACTACTGTGGGTACAGAGGAGGGAGCCTCTGACAAAGTAATGAGAAATACTTCTGACTTTTCTCAAGATTGTTTTAAAATATTTCCTGTCTTCATTTCACCTTGAAAAATATTTCTAGAAAATAAAAATATTGTAGAAGAAGGTATATTATCTGTGAACTTTTGTACTTAATACTCTGGCTTCTCAAAATAAGGTTGTTTTTGACCTTAAAAAATGAACATCAATTCAGAGGGACCTTAAATGAAAACAGAAATTCTAGAGGAACTATGCATAAATATACTTTAATTAAGACCATCCTTAAGCTGACGACTTGTTTGTGACTTTAAGTGTCTCTGCTCTGAATGCTGCCTGGAAAGCCAAGCACGGATGGCCTCAAACCAAGACCAAACCTTGACATGAATACTTTTAAACAGCTCTGCTCACTTTTTGCCTGTAAGCAGTCATGGTGTACAGATTGAGTGTAAATATTTAAACTGGTGTTACTGGACACTGTCCAGAAATGCCTCCATATTTAAAGGGCAGAAGAAGATCTGTCCGATGGGTTAGTGAGCAGCTGAGGGCAGTTGTGTGGTGTTATCTGGTGTAGCAACGGTCTGTTGGTGTGAGCGGATGGGTGATTGAAAAGAAAGGGCAGCTCACTGTGAACTTGAAGCCAAACGTTTCCTGGGTTTAATACCGTGAGTGCTGTAATTAATGCACTTGGCAAATAGAAGACATCTTTCAAATAGAATCGTGAAATTACTCATGGTAGATCATAGTTCGCTATAGCTTTGAAGGAAGGTGAATGTAGATATTATGTCTGCTGTTCTGTGTGTATATCTATCTAGGTATATAAACATATATGCTTTTGTTTCTTTAGGTTTTACGGTGCAAGTCTTTGAAGCCATCTCTGGGAAGATGAAGCTTCCAGTAGCAGCGGTCTGGTTTGGAACCCGCTTGTTTTAAGAGTACCTGGGAATTTCTACCCAAATTTGCCTTTCCAGCGTAAATTATTGGACAATGAGTTATTTTTATTTTTTGCATATTTTCATGCTACATAACCATTTTTCTTCCTTCTCATTTTGTTCAATGGGAAAAACTTGAGCCAGTTGTGTAGCTCATTCTTACTTTGCCACATTTCTCTTGCTGAGCCAAAGTCCACAGCACATCTATTTTTGTGTGCTGGTTGCTGTTTGGGTTTTTTTTTTCTTTATATGACATACGCCACTTCTTGAGTGCTTTTAACTCTTTCACATTCAACCTGTCCTTCTGCATTGCTGAATAGGCGTAGAATCACTCAAGGAATTAAATAATTTCAGACTTGCAGAAGATGACTCATATGCTTCAGAAACATTTTTATGGCTGTGCTTGGCTCATTTGTACAGGAGTTTAACAGTAGTAATATGAGGTATTGCATTAACTGTTGCATACATTTATTACCAAATGACTTGCACAGACAGTGTTTCAGATGCCGTGGACCCAACCATAATAACCAGAAGTGTCCTGTTTGCAGAGGGGGAAATAAGATCCCTTTGTACGCCGACAGCAAGCAGATGAAGTTGCTTGCAGTTTTGGAAGTAAGGACTGATCACGGCGAAAGCTGGAATGGATTTTTCTGCTTGAGGAAGGGGAAGCTATGCAGCTTAATATTTGGGCTGATTATAATGACTCTAGTGATGGCATCCTATGTACTGACTGGAGCCAAACATGGCCTGTTGTTAATACCATCTCCCTTCCATTACGGAGCTTTTACTAGCAATCCCAGCTTAATGGACAATGAAAGCCTTAGTGACATGAAAGACCATTACCAGCCTTCTAAAATGAATATTTCATATGTAAAGGATTATCCAAGCATTAAATTAATTATTGACACTATTACTTCAAAGATAGAGTTTATAACGAGACAGCGCCCTGATTTAGAAGAGCTGAGGAAACAAGAGCCACATGTAAGTATGACTTAAAGTGTGTCTGAAACTGCTGTGTACTTGGTTATTTCAAGACTTTTGGGTCCATCTTTTAATGAGATTTAAAAAAGTGTGACTGCTCAGATGTTCATACAGTGATTTACACTACCTAGAGTCTCCTGATTTACACCACCTGAAAAGTTGATGTTGTAGATCATGTCCTTCTGAGTCAAGGGCAAAATAGATGGGTTATGTAAATGGTCTTGGCACCTGAAACAAAAACTCAGTCTTCCGATAGCTATACAATCTCAATGAATTTTTACCTTGACTCATGCGAAATCATTCTGACTTAGGTTTGCCAGTCACCTTAAATGATAAATAAGAAAGGAGCCTTGCTAGTAACTAGTTACCAGTGTGCCTTCCTGACAATCTGGTCATTGCAAACCTTGTATTTCAGAGTTAAAAACTGGAGGTTATTTCAATTTGAGTATTACTTGTTTGACTTGAAAACGGAATTCTTGGGATTGCAGGGGAGTTGGGGGATTATTGAGATCCTTTCTGGCCTTAAAATCAAATAATTTCCAAATGTACTCCTCTCCCAGTCCAACTATTTGTACAGGATTTGGTTCCAATGTCATCAGAAGAAATAAGTTAGATCAACTTTGTAGTTAAAAACCATAAGGGTTAAAAATGCCCACATAATGTTTCTATTGTGTTCTTTGACTGTGGTAAGTTAGAAAAGTATAACTGTCAATTTTTTGCTGCCTTGACTGAAATTGTTGTTCTTTATGTTGCAGATGTTTTCAGTAATTCCTAATAAATTCCTTCCAAATAGCAAGAATCCTTGTTGGTATGAAGAGTACCGAGGAAACACAACCACCGACCCTTATGCAACAAACTCCTATGCACTGTATTCAAAGCGCTTTCGGACCATATTCGATTACCTCAGGAAGGTATTTTGGAACCACTTGTACCATTATAAGGACAAACACTACCGCCTGCGCTGTCTCCCCCATTTCTACATCATTGGTCAGCCCAAGTGCGGGACGACGGACCTGTACGACCGGCTCAGGCTGCACCCCGACGTTCGGTTCTCAGCAATCAAAGAGCCACACTGGTGGACAAGAAAACGGTTTGGTGAGTAAACGTTTCCTCTGGTACTCAGGCACATTGTCTCTATTAAATGTTGACATTTCTTGTATATATTTGTGGTGATATTTACAGATTTGCTCCCTATTGACCTACCTTGAAACCACTGAAGTTGATAGTTTTGAAAACTCCAGATGATGGAAACTCAGTAGGTTCCAGCCTGCTTTTGTTTAATGGTGCATTGGGTTAAACTTCTCAAGATGATGCACATTTCATTTGGTTTATTTGCAGTGGTTTGGAAAATCTAGGAAAAAAAAATAAAGACACTAGATGAAACCAACCCTGTTTATTTGTGAAAGCAGGGAGAGGAACTATTAGGTTGTGATGGGAGATTTAATGAATAGCAGTGATAGTTTTGTATTGTGAAATTCTGTAAGGCCTTTCTTACATGAATAAATGATGAGTCAGTGATTGAGAAATGGGTGGCTTCAGTCCTTTTGAGTCGATAAAGACAACTCCGCTTTGGGTAGGATCTTCAGTAGTGTCATGGCTCTCATCAAGCACTGAACAGTAGAGATGCTCTGCATGAGAAAGCTCTCTCACACTGAGGAACCTGCACATATTTTTGATGTTCTTTTCCTGGGTGACATCCATATTTCATGAAGTGACCCTTCATCTCTGAAGGCACATTTAAATGGTTGAGGTTATGGCCTGATGGAGCAAAACACGTCTGCCACTAGTGGTTGCACCTTCAAAGGGTGTTGAGGGCGATGGGGCTGAGCACTTCATTTTACCCATCTGAAGTGTTTGTGTCCTCCTTGTTCCCTCTTCCCTGGGTGCCAAGGAAAGTGAGTCTTGTGGTTAGAGACTAGGTGAGACGCAGAAGACCCAATTTCAATTCCTGGCTCTGCTGTGAGCTTAGTGCTTCCCTGTAAAAGTGGATCCATATAATGCTTGCTGTATTCCACCCATGCACTGGATTTTCCTGCTGTTTGGTCTAGCTGTTAAATGCATGACCTTGGTATCACAGATCACAGGCTTTTCAATGATACTACTATTTTCAAGAGGAAGATACAAGAGGTATTTCGCTGTGACATTATCTTCACTTCTGTTTCTGAGTCGCTCTTGCTTTATTGTGGATGCTGCCTTTGGAACAAGGAGTAACGTAGCACTGTGGGGTAGATCATTTGATGAGGACTTTGCATCATTACTTTTCTTTTCTAAGCTTTCTTGAAATGGGAAACTATCTCTTCTAATGAACTGCCGTGGCTAACAGCAAGGAAGGACAGTTTCTGAGGGACCGGGACACCTGCAGTGCTGCTTCTGTTCTTTATTTCAGTGTCCTACCTTCAATTCCTTATTTCTCCTGCATGTGGTGTTGCCCTTCTCTATGCCCTGGAGCCCAGAAGAGTCCATGAGTTCCTGCAGATGGGGGCTTTGATCTTCACTGCTGAGGAGGGCTCAGCCACAGAGCTGGGATTTCACATTTCTCATGGAGAAATGATTTTGCTGTGTTCTTAGAGTTTGTGTTTTCTTCCTTTGCAACTGTCAAAAGAAAGCGGCTAAAATAAATATTCTAGACATTTTCTAAATGTTTGTTATAAACCGAGAGGTAAAGCAATATGGTGAAATGCAGTTTTCTTTTGGAGATAATTTAGTCTGGCATAGGAGACACTCCTAGGAGGTACCAATGCGAATAAGGGAGCTGGGCTGGTTTCAAAGTCAAACCAGAGACGCATCGCGGTGCCCCCTGAAGCCCCACAAGAAGGCACTCGTTCATCATGGTCAGCAGCTGACTGGAGACAAATGATGAGGATTACGTCCTGACCTGAAGGTGAAAAGTCAGATCAGTGAAGAAAGTGGATCTTAGACTTGGGTGCCTTCCAGCGTGAACGCTGTGCAGCTTGTTTTTGGGGGTGAAGATACAGGGACTGTCAGCAAAATCATCTGTGGAAGGATGGGGTCTTCCAAGAGAAGGCAGAAAAGGCTGAACCACACTCATGGGTGATACGTTAAGCTAAAATCCTTTAAAAAGGATTGCTAAATAGTGCTGAATAGTTCTCTGCACCTACTGTGGTTTCAGCATAAATGTTTGCAATGAATAGTGGAGAGAGCAGTGCATTCAGTCTCCCTAAAGCAAGAGAGTTGCTCAGAACTGGACCTGCCAAACAGGCAGAAAAATGTAAGAAATCAGGCTGAAGTGAGTACAATTTGAGAACAAGAGTAAATTCCTATCTCTGTGCTGGCTTTCATCAGCTCTCCACTTGCACAACCTTGTGGTCAGCCACTGGGGATCAAGTGCAGATCTTTGAAGAGAACTTTCTTTGCAGCATTACATTTTTGGAAGCTATTCTGTAAAGCTGAAGAAGTGATTGCAAAACTTGGGATCTCATGAGAGAGGGATCTGTGGAGATGACCTCCCAATCATCTCAGGCTGTCTGCCACTGAGAATGAAAGGTTAAGTTTTGCTCCTGGTTGCTCAGTCCTTTCATTCTGCTGCGGAAGTACATCAGCTAAGGGTTGCTATTAAAAAAAGAAGGGAAAAATAAAAAGAGAATATGACAAATAGAGCAACAAGTGAAACTGAGACAGCCTGCTTATAAGCCAGCTAGTGGATATGGCTCCAATGCTCCTGGCTATTGACTTGGTTTCGTTTATAACACTTCTCCAGAGAAGAAAGTCCCTTTGTTCTGTGGCATTCCCTGATTCAGTGGATTTTTATGAGACTAATTTCAGCTGAAACTAAACAACCCTCCTGGGAAGGCCTCGTTTCACAAATCACTGCTTTCCCGTTCTGCTGGGATGGTCGATGCTCTACAGGACTTTGTCCCAGCTTGACTGTCCCTCTTTCCTGGCCCTTGGCCGCAATCTCTAGTCCCATGAGTGGGGTGGCAGCAAACCAAGGCAGTCTGCAGCACCGTGAGTGTAGCTTTTTCCCCTCAAAACAAATCAAAATACACTGCTGAGCTCACATACACTGCTGCCCTTTCTTCTACCCTCATTAAATCCCACTTTCCTAAAGGGGAAAATCAGAGGGAATGGACAAAAGAACTCCCTTGCTGAGCTTTCCTCTCTCATAATTGATAATTATTGGCCTTGTGGGAACAGGAAAGGGAGAGCTGAGAAGTCCTGGTCTATACTCTTAGCTTTGCTCCTACTCTTTTGCTTTCCCACTGCTCTTCTTGACCTCTGACTGCTTGAGAAACTCTCTTGTGGTATGGTAGGAAGCAAAAATGCAAAGACAGGCATGGGGAGCATGTACAGAAAGTGGAAAAATGAGACTAGAGATGGAAAGAAGAGTGGGAAAAGGAGTATAAAGATCACAGATGTGGCTGAAGATGCTGAGAAATGCAGGGAGAAGGGGATGCTGAAAC